GTTGTTGTAAAGTGCCTTGGGTCACTGATTGCTTCAGTTTATCGGCCCCCATCGGGCGATATAAATGAATTTTTTGAGTTTGTAAATGAAATTCTAGACTACGTGTCATATCTCAATTTGCCAATTGTCTTAGTTGGTGACTTCAACATTGATTTGCTTTCATCTACTCGTTCCTGCCGACGTTTTCTTGGTGTCATTGAATCGTTTGGTTGCTCAAACGTCATTCATTCACCAACAAGACTAGCGTCTGAAAGTGAAACTTTGATCGACTTGTGTGTTACTAGCTATGACCCAAAGGATGTTGTCTCGGGTATTCTTACATTCGATCTAAGTGATCATTTGCCAATATATTGTTTTTTTCCTCTGGTCAAAAAGAAAAAGTGTAACATCTGTGACCCTCCTCTACTGCGACGCAATTTCGGCGTGAATGCTCTTGCTCTTTTCCGGGACATGATAGAGAATACCAGTTTTGATGACGTTTATAATGAAGAAAACCCAAATTTGTGTTACGACATATTTTTGCATAAAACAAAGCACATTTACAATGAAGCGTTTCCTCTTCGACCTATAATAAATCGCAAGAAGTCTAGGAAGCCGTGGGTTACTCGCGAGCTGTATAAAAGGATTAATGAACGTAACAAACTCTACGATAAATTTATTCGACTAAAGCGCGAGACACATGGACGGCAGAATCGTCCGATCCGACGTCCGATCCGACAGTCCGAACGCCGCTCCGAATCGCCGTACGCGACAGTTTGAGACACATGTTTCCGACCTTGCATGCGACACGACGATCCGTTCGGCTCCGCCCAGGAGATCCAGCACTCCAGCGGAGGTCCGCGTTCATAGATCTCTGGACTCTGGTCCCAGATTGACGGTTTAGCTCACACGAGCGAAGTTAGAAGCTCGTTCTCGTTAGCGCGTGCATTCTTTGCCGGGGCCATCTTTCTCGAATGGATCAGCGGGATCCACGCGTCCGGCTTCCCGTCGCCCGTCCCGTTTTCTTATTCGTCCCGACAGACCCAGTACGTCATCATGACGTTCGCGCTAGCTGTGCTGTCATTGGCTGGACGCATCCGACAATCCGTCTGCCGTGCGAAACTATCTGGCGCTTTGGACGCATGTCGATCGCCGATCCGACGCCTGAAGCGACCAAATTTTTCGGATCAGGCAGTCGTACTGCCGGATCAGACGTCAGATCGGAGGGATTTTTCGCGCATGTGTCTCGCGCTTAAGGGACCAGACAATATTAATTAAATATAAACAAATAAGAAATAAATTAAATAAGGACATCAAGAAAGCACGCGTTGAGTACTGTAAAAACAAGTTTGCATCTATTTCGAATGAACCAAAAAAACTTTGGGGTGCAGTAGGAAGTCTAATTGGAAAACACAGGAGTAAGATTCCCGATACATTAACTCTAAATGGTATTGAGTATAACGATGCCTTACTGGCAGACAAATTTAACTTCCATTTTTTAAACGCAGGTGCGTCCTTGCAGCCACATGGTCCGAACGAAAGCTTAGACAAATATATTTCATCTGTAGCTGTCGACACTATTTTCTTGGCTCCAAGCAATGAACAAGAAATATATTCAATCCTTAAATCTTTATCTACAAACACCGCAGCTGGAGAAGATGACATCAAGGCTATACCAATTATAGCTGTCGCAGACCTCTTGTGTTTTCCTCTGCAGCATATATGCAATAACGCATTAGCAACGGGCATTTTTCCTGATGGCATGAAAATTGCAAGAGTGGTTGTTCTACACAAAGGAGGCTTTTTTGACAACATTAACAACTATAGGCCTATTTCTGTACTTCCTTTGTTTTCAAAGGTTCTAGAATTTCTTATAAAAAAAACGGTTTTCAAAGTTTCTTAGTGAAAGAAATGCTTTTGTTACTCAGCAATACGGTTTTACGGAGAATAAGTCAACCGAAATGGCTCTACTTAGCATCAAAGAAAAAATACTTAATAATTTTGACAACAAACATTTCACTATCGGAATGTTTCTGGATTTCAGAAAGGCCTTTGATTCGATTAAACATGATATTTTGTTCTATAAATTACCGTTTTATGGAATAAGAGGTGTTGCTTTAGATTTAGTTCGTAGCTACTTATCTTGTCGACTACAATATACTAGTCTTAATGGCTACAGGTCCAAGTTAGAACAAATTTCGTACAGTATCCCACAAGGGTCTATTTTAGGTCCTCTCTTTTTTATTATTTATATTAATGATATCGTACGTATCACTAAAACTCCTGAAATAGTTTTGTATGCCGACGACACTAGCTTATTTTTCTCTGGCCCATGTCTGCGTGATCTTGAAATTTCTGCTAATACATGGCTGAGCGAGTTATCGTCCTGGCTAGACTCCAGTCAGCTTCAGTTAAATGTTACAAAAACTAAATATATAATTTTTAAGCCGCGAAGTAAACCGGATGACTGCGAAATTATTTTAAAATTCCAAGACTCTCCGATAGAGCGTGTCACTATCTACAAATTTTTGGGAATTCTCTTCGAAGAAAATTTAAGCTGGACTCCACATGTAAATAAAATTCATGCAAGCATCTCTAGATCTATTGGCATTTTATACAAAATAAGAACACTTGTCCCAGGCTGGTTAAGACGTCAGTTGTATTATTCACTAGTTCATTCCCACTTTCATTACTGTCTACTAGTCTGGGGTTCAACGACTAAGACAAATATTGATAGACTGTTTGTTTTGCAAAAAAGAGCAGTACGTTGTATTGAAAATCTTCAGCGCACCGACCACACAACGCCGTTTTTTCTAAAGCATAGCTTCCTTAATATTAGTCAGTTATTCCAGCTTAAACTTTCAATCCACATTTTTAATGAGTTCAATCGTGACTAGTCCACTTTTTTTGACGCATTCCTTCCTAGAAATATACAATACAATCTTCGGTATGACTCTTATAGAATACCTTGGTCAAGTACGAATTACGGACATACTCAATTAGCGTACTTTATTCCTGATTTCTTAAATAAACATACGGCCGTAAGAGAAATGATTCATGAATGCGGCTCAAAGCATACCTTTAAAAGAAATATAAAACGGTACCTTCTATCATGTCCCATTGAATGAATGTTTTTAAAAAGTGTTTGTATCCAATGGTTGAGCTTCATTTATTCTAGTGCATCCTATGTCCCCGAAAATTGTTATGACATGACTACTGTATAAGTTATGTTGTTTTGATCTTTATTTGTGGGCCGTTCTGTTTCCCCGTGGCTTCTGTGTTTATATTACAACGTGTCGTACTATACGCTGAGCAATGTAAACTGGTGATAGGGCCAAGTCAGGCAGAACCCATCTGCCTTTTGCCTTGTCATCCGAGACCTTGTGTCTGAATAAAACCAATTCAATTCAATTATTTTTGCGGTGGAAAAAAACCTGTACATTTTTTTTGTGACACCCTTTACAAAAGCAGCAGCTGCCGAGCAGGGCATTCTATTGTGTTCCGCAGTTGCTGTGGGAGGGTGACGAGCAACGTGCTTACACAAGTGTCATCGGTTATGTATAGATTTAACTTTAGCAAAGAATCGCACCGAAGTTGTAAGGGAACCGATTAGTGTATATCATAGCGATCACAAAGCAATCATCACTACCATTTCAAAATGAAGTACTGTAAACGACTTAATTTTCGAGAGGACCTAATTTTAGCTAATTTCGCGAATCGCCTACAATTCGCAAAAAATAGGTCCCGCGAACGATCCCAGTAAAATGTAAACACATTGGATTCTACAGGGTGATTCAAGGAGACGCCAGGCTCTTTAAATCGACCTCAAAGTTCGGTTTCTTAACCTATCGCGCTACGACTTTGTGCAGCGTTGCCCACAGATGGTGCATTTTTTAGCAAAATTTACAAAGAGCGAACTTACCTGAGGAAAAAGTAAAGAAAGAAAAAGGCTTAGCTCCTATGGAAACGAAGCGACGCCACCGGTCTTCAAACAACACGGTGCCGTTTCGCAAGGGAGACAAGAGATGGCGCAACGAACGCCACCAACGAACGAGCATACGGCGCCGAGAGCCGGCGTCTTTAGCAGACAATATTTTCGACTCAAAAGCGGCGCGCGCGTTCCGCAGGCGGCGACAGTCGCAGAAACAAAAACAGGCGCGTAACAACAAGGGACTGCAGTTCCTTGTCTGCGAAAGACGCCGGCTCTCGGCGTCGTAGGCTCGTTCGTTGGCGGCAGTTGGCTTGGCGACCGCTTGCGCCATTTCTTGTCTCCCGTGCGAAACGGCGCCGTGTTGTTTGAAGACCGGCGGCGTCGCTGCGTTTCCATAGGAGCTAAGCCTTTTTCTTTCTTTACTTTTTCCTCAGGTAAGTTCGCTCTTTGCAAATTTCACACACTCAAAAAAAAAAAAAAAAAGCACTATCTGTGGGCAACGCTGCACAAAGTCGTTGCGCGACAGGTTAAGAAACCGAATTTTGCGGTCGATTTAAAGAGGCTGGCGTCTCCTTGAATCACCCTGTATATTGAGATCCCACCGCGTCGCAAAAATTAGAACCCCCGAATTATTTTAAAATTTCAGCTTTGACCTAAATCGCGAAATATTGAGCCCGGGAAGAATAAGTCGTTTATAAACATTTGATGAAGTGCTTTTGTGTGTCTCTTGGTGAATAATTTGTGGTGGTGCACTACAGCTTCGCTGGCCAACAACATTCAGAGAGTGGAATGGCTCCAAAATGTTTTAATCAAATTCATGATTCAAAATGAAGAAAAGACATTTTCGCTTCCTTTTCAGTTAATTTTACATCTTCCTATATTTTCAATTTCATTCTTGATATGGAGTCTGAACTAAAATGAAGAAAAGACATTGTTGTGAAAATCCCGTACTCCTCTCGATATGAGTTTCGCTTCGCCAATTCCAGCCTGACTGGTTTCGATTTCGCCAGACAGCATGACGTACAGCCAAGGGTGTCGGAAAGCGGCGTGCGTCTGGCAACCAAGCAGCGCATGCGTAGTTCTGGTTTCCTGGGTCTTCCTGCGAGAGAAATCAAGAGAAGTTGCGCGGCTGAAATGCCGCCGATATGGCGCCTTCAATAAGGTGAGGCTGCGTTTTTAATTTCTACCTTACGTTAGCCCACTCTAGAGTACACACGTCTCGTACGTATTTCTCTCTGAAGGCTAGGAAATACGAACATCCTGTCAAATATGCGTGTCCGCGCTCGACGCACGCTGTCTCGCGCACCGACTTCGTTGACATCGCGGCTGCGACGATCGTTCTGGGTTAGGCCTTTCAGGAATATTTTTATTTCCGAAGCTTTCTTACCGTTCCTCGAACGTCTCTCCGTGAAATTCGCAGAGAGAATTACGCCCCTCCCCCACAAAACGAAACGAGTACAAACGAGGAATCTCCGTGTCGACACTGCGTCATCCGAGTTGCGGGGGTGTATCCGCTCTGTTGTTATTTTGGTGCTCTTTTCCACTAGGGATGCTGGGAACGGATGCAGTCAGTGGGATGCGATCTCCAGCATTCGTACTGCGCGAATCTCTACCGCGGTCACCAATAATCCTGTCCATTTTTACCGTCACGTTTCGTGTAAAAGTTTCACTTGGTCATCTTTACAGTGTCGGTAAACAATTTTGACAAGTCTCAACGTCATGTTAATAATGGTACCATGATAACATGAACGCCTGTGATTCATATTGTACAGATTTTGGGCCCTCCGCTTCCTTAGGATTTGGTTTTTGGCACTCAAATTTTACGTATACCTCTTTTCTTGTCTTTTGCACGCGCAGTTGCCGTGGAGAATAAGACTGGATGAGGTTTGTCTCTAGATTTAGTTTTTCCCCCTTTCCCCTTTCATGTTCGTCTTTTTAATCTGGGAAGTAACACCCCGAACTATCATAGAAAGGTGGGCGCAGACCTGTTACGGGGTCTGAAATATTAATTGTTAATTGTAATTTCACTGTGTGCCAGTTACCTAAACCGACAGGATGTCAAATACTACATTTAGTTTATTGGCATTGAATACTCATTTCAACGATATATTGAGACAGACTGTGTTTAACCGTTAACTCTTCTGCCGTGGAAAGGGCAGACGTGTTCATCAAGTTTCCATTGGAAACTTTACCATTGTCTTCTTCACCCTTTATTTTGAAAGAAAAAATTGGCATTATTTTTGTTGTTATTCATTGTCACTACTCAAAACTGTCATTTTGTTTCTCATCATCTTGCATAAAAAATACTGCCTGATTTCAAAGCCATGTTTAAACTAGGTGAAGAAAACATTTATTGAGGTCTTTGGGAGACATTAAATTTCTATTCTCCTAAATACCTCAGTAATGTTTTGGAACTCAGTAAATTATTTGTGCTGACCGTCATCACTCGAATAGAGTGGCCGTAATTGTCATAGAAAACAGGGCATTCATGCAGGCAGAAAGAAAAGCTCTGCTACTATCCTGTTTTGTGTAGAAATGCACATTTTTCGAGACTACTTTGTTCAGAACACAAGCACCTTTCTCCCCCTTTTTAAACAAGGAAGAAATGTTGCCGGTCGAAACATGCCAAAATCAGCAATATAAAAGAAGTCACATGTACACATGTTATGCAAACAAAACGTGTTGCCAGATGTATCCACAGAAAGAGCTTAAAGGGGTGTTTTTTAAATGGAGTAACACTTTCATAGTATGTTTATTTTTATAAAATTACATCCGTGACGTGTAAACAATCCTTCGGTTTTCTTCCACATGCTTAGTGCTGATTTCGCAGCCACTGTAAAATACAAAGCGTGCGCGCTTGTATGGTGGCTAGAAGGACTTGGTGTCCGGAGCGCCGCTCGAGGCGCGGGCCGTTTGAGGAAGACGAGGTAGGTGGCGCTGTGCAACGTAGGGCCGTCAGGATACGGGGTGGCACAGCCGCGCGACGCCTCAGCGCATCGTTGCGCGTTTAGTTTTCAGTGGGACCATATTTAGGGCTGTATCTCGAATTGTTTTGCTGATGTTCATTCAGAATTCCCGACTGTTAGGCACACCAATCTAGCGTTCACAGAATTAACTTCTTGCAAGCGGTTCCACGTAAGGGTGACTACCGTTCTGTCGATACTCGAGGGGCAACCTTTTCTGGCGTTCTCTTGCGCGGGCGCAGCTTTGATCGGTGTTTGAAGCGCATGTATTGCCACCAAATTCCAGCAGTATTGTTTTGTGCGCTGCTGGGTGGAAATCGAAATTATATTTATATTTCACATACTTGGAATAGCCACATCCGCCCACAGGAGTTTCACTACATCTGCTGTAAGCGACTTAATTTTCACGAGGACCCAATTTCGGTGCAAAATAGGTCCCGCGAACAATTCTGCTAAAATGTAAACACATTGGAATCCATATTAAAGTCCTACCGCATGGCGAAAACTAGAACCCGCGAATTATTCCAAAACTTCAGCTTTGAGCCCGCGTAAATTAAGTCGTTTACATTAGACATTTGTGGTAGCGATGTCGTCGGCCGATTTTACTGCCACTAAAAAATGGGGAAGGGGGGGGGTTTGTGGTCCAGACTAATGAGGGGTGAATCTGGAACACCCCAGCTAACGAATGAGGCTTGGCACATTCTTTCGAAGCTATCATGGTGGTTCCATACTAGATGCCAGACTATGATGTTTATGGCACATTGAAAGAAAAACCTTTTTAAATCGGTTTCCCTAAACGGTCATGTCATTTGATAAAATAAATCATAACAAACGGTAAGAAAAACACAACGCCAGAAAGCAACAGAATTGGCACTTTGTTCACCTACCTGAGGTTATTGCTTTACAAAAAATATACAGAAGTTATTTCAACATGTTTCACCAGCAAATAAAAGCGTTCCGAAAATGGCAGTAATATTTCACACAATATACTTAGAGTAATATTCAATAATGATACTAATAGATAACAGCTTGTACAGAAAAACTGAGCAGCTATATCTACACTCCACACTTCTGCTCACCTTCGGGACCACAGAAGAAACCGTTCACTGTCTTTGGGCACCGAAAATAATGCGCGCTTTCGCTCAGCCGAGCGGTAACCTGTCTTGCATCCAGGCACGCAGCAGTGCCTGTTCCTTGGCGACCGCTTCGGCGCTGCCCCGTCCGCCATTTCGCTCACCTCGGTGATTTCATTCGTTTCATGCCTTCAGTCACTCTATTTAATCACTCCTCGGCCAAATTACAGCACATGCTCACGCTCACCAAGCGTCCTTTTGTTTCTGTGTCTCGCTTCACCGGCTTCACTCCCGCTTCGGCTCAACCCGTCTCGGCATCCCAGAGTGTTGTGGCTCCACCTATCCACGTCTTCCTCAAACGGCCCGCGCTTGTCAATGGAAGGGGGAGCTCGCTCCGGACACCAAGTCCTTCTAGCCACCATAGCGCTTGTCACAAGGAGCGTTCACCACCTACTTTTGGAACACTTGAAATATAGGCCAAAGGACATATTCACTGTCCACCCCAGCAAGCGTGTGTGAGTCCACCAAGCCAACTGAGGTGGTCCTCAGTGTTGTCGGTGGGTGGCTGATTAAAGCAGCCAAAACACATTGAAGTAGCCATTTTATTTATTTTTGTGCCAAACTTGTCGCCACCATACTTCTTAGAAAGATGTATCACAAAAAGTTAAACTAAAATGAGGCTCTGCACACCCTTAGTCAATGTGAATAAATGCTGGTACAACAAGAGTAATTAAGGTCATTTTTTTTAAAAAGCTCAAAATGTTCAGAACCAATGATGATGATGCTTTTTCTTGCAGCCGCAGGCCAAACTTCAGTTTAAGAATTGCTATGTCAAGCTTCATCGTGTTTGTCAGTTTTGTTTTTTAACGAAACTTCAAAAAGCACATGATCACAATTTGCATTTGGTATAAGAAGGGATAGGAGTTTCAGAGCACCATTTGCAAGATTTGACAAGGACGTACGCCAGAAACGCTGTTGTAAGTGGCTGCTCTGTGCAAGCAATTTAGGCATTTTGTATGGTCCTAGGTGCTAGAAACTGACTGCAGGTGCCAGATTTGTGATTCTAGCTCATGAGAACATCATCCAATAAAGTGAGGTGGAAGTCTCATTATATCCGCGCAATGCTTGAGCCTTTGAAGTGCGGTCAGAGCATTTAGCAACCATGATTGCATCTGGCTATTTGCCTTCTTGGACATTTCTTGAATCTTTAATAAAAAGTTTTGATAGCTTCTCGCAGAAGACATCTCTTAGGTCTTCTGTCTCTGGACCTAGGAAGGTAGATCTCATGTTGAATAGGTCCAGGAATAGGAAGCTTGTTAATGAGTCGCATCATAGCCAAAAAGTAGCCAAGGAGGCCAAGGAGCAAACTTCAAGTTTTGGTTGCCAGTCGTGGTTGAAAGTAGCCAATTTGGCACAAAGTAGCCACCAACGGCAACACTGGTGCTCCTCCATGTCAGCTGCTTCTCCCAGAAGCCAGTGCAAAGCGATGTAGCTTTACTCGCATCCTCTGTGCAAAGCGGTAAAGCTTGATGCAAGAGCTTCACCATTTCACTTTTATTTACCGTCAAGGTACAAAGTGTAATGTAATTTGACATAAATAAATAAATAAATAGGGGTGCAAGCACAAAACATGCCTGACAGGAGCGGAGCGGATGCTTTAAAAATGAAGGGTTCTGCCAGACCCCCATACTGCTCCTATACCGTTCTGTTAAATTCAACCAGGGCCTACTCTACCGTGTGTTTCTGTTTTTCCACTCTCGTTCTAACAAGTGCCCAGCCCTCCTTTGTTCATGACTATTTTTTTGTTTCATTGGTGATATTACTGCTTTACCACATCAACATGATAACATAAGGGAGAGCTATCTGTGCCTTGTTTTATGCTCTACTGGGATCAATACAGAAGGCTGTTTCAAATTTATAGAGCCATCATTTATGAGGAAGGCTGACAGCAGGAATGTTTCATGCCCTTTTGATTGGCCATTTTCAGGTAACCACATTTGTCACTGGTGACACTTTAGGGCACTAGAAATAATATATAGCAGTAATTAAAAGAAAATAAAATCAACACAATTAAAGTTTATTCCAACTTTACACAACGAGGGTCATAGGAACCTCGTGGACATTTCCTCACCTCTACGAGTTGCATCATCACTGTACACTGGCTCTTAGACAAAGACAGCCAACCGTTCTCGACTTACCTTAATGTGCCCATAGATGTCTGGTAGGGGGCCGCGGCTTGGAATTTTATACCATTGGGTGCCGACAGATAAACTATGGTTGTAAGAAATTTCTCGAATCCCACAGGTGCTTCCGTTCCGAGTTGTTCACATTGTCAAAATTGAACTCCTGCCCTCTTGTCCAGGTTTGGGCGTCTGCAGGGTTACGGTTCTTTGGCTTAGCATACGAAGGCGTAAACACCGTATGGATGCCCAAGGGACACAAAGCTCCTCTATGTCGCACGATTAGAGTGAAGCAGCATTGGGGAGGGTCCGGACAGCCTCTCATAGATTGTGACCTGCCCTCATCCTGCCACCTTCACTGTGTCGAGGCCAGTAGCAGTGTAGTAAGGTGGGCTGTTGGACCGTTATAAACACAGCCTGTTGTAGGAGACAGAAGTGCATTGGATTGAGGCATTGCAAGTTCTTTTCACTGCGGAAATCACATTCCAGCTTGCTTACCTTTAGCTTTTAGCATCTCAAAATTCTTCAGAATTGACTAAGGATTTAGTGGAAAAATGTTTTATCAGATATGTCCTGATTAATCTGTAAACCTGTAAACTTAGAAATAGTGCCTTTAGGCCTAATGTAATTGTAATCTGCTACAAATAACTTGAACCCTCTGACTTGCTGTTTGTAACTGTGGAAGTACTCTTGCTGAAGAGAAAATTACACTCCTTGTTTTGAAATGTAATTGTGAGGTCAGATTTCTTTTGCTGTGCCTGATCATGCCCTCATGCTGTTCAAGTATGCTTGTAAAATGGTGACTTTTGTTTTCTTGATGCAGTAAAGAAGAATTGATGAGGAACTCTGATCCCCTAGTCTGGGAACTAGGTGGTACAGACGATGCAGAGAAAACCGAAAGGCAAGTATGGTGTGATCTTCCCTTTAGAACTATACTGGACATCTGTGGCAAGGTTTTAGTGGCGTACACCTCAGCAAGCAAAATCTTACGGTGTGATGCTTGGTCTCAGCACGTCTTAACAAATATTTTATTTGCACCACAGAAACTTATTCTCAGAACGTGACTCCTTTTTTATTCATTTACACCAGGCAGCAAACTGAATTAAGGGCCTCTGCCAAGGTATTTCTTCATGGCTTACATGTTTACTCATTCACAACATAACAGGGATCTTATATCAGAGGAAATATATTTGGAGCTGAAATCTAACGGCTTTTTGCGTAAAACCTATTTTGGCCTGCCTTCACTTTTCCAGTCACATGCAGGGATGACACAAAACTCTTCATATATACAGGGTGTTTCAGAGAACGCAGGCCAAATCGCTCCTGCGAAAACTACTCATCGTAACGAGAAAAGGCTTGTGGCGTTTTAGTCCTGGGCCAGGGGTCCATTTAGGAAAATTATTAAAGTCCAGGGTAATTAAGTTGTTAATTATTTTTGCGTAATTAACTTTTTTAATATTGTGTTTAAGGGCATGGTTTAAATTATAAAATTGCTCAGCATCATCGAAAAACACTAAATCAACAAATTGCAGAATGATAGAAGGCACGCGAAGCATTTTACGGCTTTCTGAAAAGACTGCACAAAATCTATGGGTTTTTAAGTTTCGGTTTGCTATTGGAGCGCATCTCAGCCCCGGCGGCACCGCGCCCCGTGGAGAGATAGTGCAACCAGCCTCTGCTGCGTCGCGCGATGACAGCGGAGCAGAGGTTGGTTGCACTATTTCTCCACGGGGCGCGGTGCCGCCAGGGCTGAGATGCGCTCCGATAGCAAACCGAAACTTAAAAACCCATAGATTTTGCAGTTTTTTCAGAAAGCCGTAAAATGCTTTGCATGCCTTCTATCATTCTGCAATTTGTTGATTTAGTGTTTTTCGATGATGCTGAGCAATTTTATAATTTAAACCATGCCCTTAAACACAATATTAAAAAAGTTAATTACACAAAAATAATTAACAACTTAATTATCCCAGACTTTAATAATTTTCCTAAATGGGGTCCCTGGCCCAGGACCAAAATGCCACAAGCCTTTTTTCGTTGCAATGTGTAGTTTTTGCAGGAGCGATTTGGCTTGCATTCTCCGAAACACCTTGCATATAAAATATCCGAAGTCATCTTGGGTACATTTTGAGATGGCCCGAGTATATGAGTGTCAAATGTACATGAGTGTCAAAAGGCAGAATACCTTTATTATCGGAAACTGAAAATGCAGGTTGATGGTTTTCAATGTTGTAACTTGAAGGAATACTGACCCGAAATTTCAAGCTCTCAAAACAAGGCTGGACAGATGGGCGGGACGCTGCAAAACCCCAAGACATCACTCGTACAGCGATCTCTAACGGATCGCCATACTTTTGGAAAAGAAGTGCAATATTGAACATGTCCGACGAGGTTGACGAGACGAGTCACGTCACGATTCCGACTCCCTCTCCTCCTTGCTACGTCCTGTCGAGCTGGTGAATTGAAGCGAGAAGAGAAGCGAGGCCGCTTCCCATTATTCTCAAATACTCCCAGAGGACAAAGACGTCAAAGACCTCGCTTGATTGCGCCCTTCTTTTCCAAAAGTATGGCCATCCGTTTGAAATGTCGATGTATGAGGGAAGTTTTGGAGTTCGTAATGCCCCATTCAACGCTTCTGCAACCTTATTTTGCGAAATCCAATTTTTCGGTTTAGTATCCCTTTAATGGCGATGCATGACGTGCATATTGGAAGTATGAGGGCCATTGTTTGGTGGCATTATTTATGCTAATGGCCAATCTCATATGCTTTGAAAGGTAATTTCTGACTGCTCTTAGGTTAAACACTGTACTATATATGGCACATCAGTTCGGAGAGTACAGAATTCGGGTGAATGGGTAGGTAATATGAGATTTGTCCTATGCAATGCATTCTCCTGATCCACCAAATAGTAGAGAACACATCTGCCAGTATAGGGTTAGTTTGCGTTTGCATAATTCTTTTTCTGGAATCTCGGCTGCAGCCACCAGTCTTGCTGTTGTCCACCCTTTTGTTTCAAAAGCATTGGAGCAGGTGTTTACTCAATGCCTACATGGAATTAGCCCTGGGGTCATCCACAGCACTCTGCTGCGTTCATTTCTGCTGCACGTCAACTATGACTAAAACTCATTTCCAGTGGAGAAGGGTAAAGCAAGGAACACATGAGTGGTGAAACAGGGCGCCGCGTGGCGCTCGCTGCTAAGCGCACAACAGGTGCACCTCGCGGCATTTTCTGAACCGACTAGATCCGAGCGCCGCGACAACGCAAGGAGGTGATGTAAGGATGCGAGCACTGGTTGCTACGGATACTGTGCTGCACGGTGCCTGCTTTCATCGCTCATGTGTTCCCTGCTTAACAGTGGTAGAAAGTTATTTTGAAATGTCTCTACAATAACAATATAATCTGAAACATATTCTAATGAGCATGTTTCACACGTAGTGTAGCCAGCACGTGCCCGGGAGTTTAGTAACAAAGCGAGAATATCAGATTGACCAGTGTCACACTTGTCACTTTTTTTTTAAATAATTTTGTACATGAGGAAATTCCCTACACTGAAGCACTTGATGCGTGATTGTATACCTCTTGATGCTGTAAACATCCTCTATGAGCCTATTCATCAGGTAATAACATGCTATGTGCTGTGCAAACTGTTTTTGCATGGAGTGGCTATACATGATGTCTTGACAGACAATGGTAAAATATTGTTTTGTAAACCATCATTTTCTGGGACAACAAGAATCCTTTGAGGTTTCTTTCAGGTGCCAGCTTTTGTAGGTGGTGTAGCAACAATCTTATGCTGACCCCTGGTGTCGTTTTTCTTTTCACAGGCTCTGTGAGTGCCTCTGGATTGCTCTGAACAGCAGGTTTTGTAATATTATAATTGTGACAATAACTGTGATTGAAAGTCTAGTCATCCTCTCCGAACTGCTCATAGATTTAGAATATATCCAAGGTAAGATGGCTGTTCTATCCATGATATTGATGCAAGACATTTACAAATTGTTTCAGATCCATTTCATCCTTGCTTTTATGTTTTCATATCATTTTGTATGAATAACGTTGTGGGCACCCATTCATATTTTGTTTTGCATACTGTAAAACTTGACTGTTGAATGCATATTTTAGGTTCATTATACTTCTTGCTTATTAGTAGTTTGAATGAATTTTTGCTGAGGTGGATGTTTAGTTTTACAAAAATATTAGAGGCTTTCATATTGCACACAGTTGTGCCTAATTTCCTCTTGACCAGTAGGTGTTTTTATATGTTAAGAAGTATGCAAATGTGCAAGGGTAACTTGAAATTGTCCTTGTGAAAGTCTTAATTAACTTCCTTTGTTTATTGTTAAAACGAAATTTTACTTGGCACAGAACTGGCAAATGTTAAAATTATTTTATTTAGCCTGAGTCACCTTCATAATTATCAAAATGTGCTCTCAAGCACATCAACTCCAAATGAAAAAGAGCTCTGCAGTACCCTTAAATCAGTGTTGGGTATAGTACCTGCAATAAAGTACAGTGGAGACTTGTTGATATGTTCCCGGTTGATATGTTTTGCCTGCTGTTGCGTTCACAAGCGCCGGTCCCGTTTAACTCCCATAGAGATACATGTTCTAGTTTCCCGTCTGTTATGTTTGACTTCCCTGTTACGTTCAAAATCTGCCCATTGACGCTCACAAACCCGCGCTCCTGGGCCGCGTGCGGCGGATTTTCGGTCTACTGTTGGCAACGTATGCCTCTAGGCCTCTCTGCTGGATTCTTCAAATTATCTACCGTAATATCCCGAGTCATCGCCCACCCCCCAACCGCCTGAAATTCGTTAAAAAAGTGGGGTGGGCCATGTCTCGGTGGGTGAGCACAAACACTTGAAAAAAAGCGGAAAAAACCGCCTATTTTTCTCTGCGTATCTAGCGCTGATGCACAAGAGATACATCAAACTCAAAACTCGATTTAGTTTCATCATTTCATAGAAAAAAAATGCTCACGAAAGAATATTTTACTATAGCGAAGTCCGTTGCTTGCATACGCGCTAGAAACACCGCCGATCTGCAATAGCACGAACGTTTGTTCCGTGAAAGAATGTCACCATTATGTTCTCCTAGTTATTAAAAAAAGAAAAGTCTACAAGAAAATAGAAAAACCGACCAGGCGCAACGAGCGAGCGAGCGGACCAAAGAAGCGACCAAGAGCAATGCTGGGAAAGCCGGCGGTCGCGTTGGCAAATACTTTGGCGTCGGGCCAAGTCGGGCGCCTTGTCAATTGCAAGCTCTTGCGCAACTTTCTTGTTTGGTGCGTACATACGTGCGTCCGTGCACGGCGGGCTATCAATGCACGGTTGGGACGCTCTGCAAACGTCTGTGTAGGACGTTCCAGCAAACTTTATTTACGCTTTGGCTTTGCCTAAAATATTGCACAACCGCTGTCGCGACGGGCGGGAAGAAGGAGCGGGTTCGCGGTGGCCTTACTTCGGCGGAGACAGACTTTGACCTAACACTCCGCGGTTACGTTAACAAACTCTTATTTTTATCTCCATCGTTTTCTTTTCGCACGGATACGGATACACGACCACTTTGGGGTCGCTCATGGAGGAAATGCGTAAACAAAAAGAAGTGTTTTTCCCTCCTTCGTTTTACTTTGTCACGGACGTCCTCCAACTGTAAGGTCCGCGGCCGCGTCATTCGGGTAGGATGAGTGTTCGCGGATCCCAGAGTCCGCGCTGGGGTATTTGAAGGGGTGGGCGATGACTCGGTGTTTTTTCGGAAATCGATATTGGCCCCAAAAAATGGGGTGGGCGATGGCTCGGGGATGGGCGATGACTCGGGATTTTACGGTAGTCGAATCCAAATCCGTTCGAATCCATAGCGGCTAGCGAGCGAGCGATGGCACGATCGGAGTCCGTTTAGGATAGCTCAACCAGCTCAAAGATTTCAAAGTTTTAATGCGCTAGTCTCTAGCGCGTGTTTTAGTTCTTGGATCTTAATGGATTCCGTTCCTGTCGGACGTTTTGATGGAACTGATGGCAACGCTGCGAGCTCAGTGTGACGCCCGTTTTGACTTCGGGAGTGGAGCAAGAGCTGAGAAAAACTTGGTCGATGCTCGACGTGAATCAGTGCAGTTGTCAGAAATCGTGCTGTTAACGATTTCTAGCAAAATAAAGGTACCGTTTTATTTCTCTATTAGCTTCGCGCGACATTCATCGTTCTATTTTCCCCACTGAGCAACATGAAAAGTTGCCCCTCGAGGTAGCAATCATGGTTGCGTTTTAATCGGGTAGATACGGTATAGGTTGACTGCTAGTTCTAAACAACGGTGCCGAAAAAGAATGCCCAGCTATATGGTAACATACATGGTAGTTCTCCGAACCCCCAAAAGTCATTCTGAAGTAAATCCCAGTGTAAGGGTTGCTCCCAGTCACATCTGTAGCCCCACCAGCAGCGTTATCGGTTGTTACGTTTTCTCAGGTGATGCATTCTTTTTTCCGCGGTCCCTGAAAAACATATTAGCGAGGTTCTATGGTGCAAAGTACTTGAGAGATTATGTATTCCAAGTAAAATAGTAAGTACACCGTGCACTTGAAGTAAAGTGCTATAAATACAATGTACTTTCAAGTAACGCACAAACACTTTTTAGCACAACCTTTTATGATGCCATTTCATTCACTTCTACAGTGTTTTTCTTTTTTTTTCAAACTGTTGTGCATTGTTGCGGAGGTAATGAAGGTGCATCAGTTATTTTCCAAGATGGCGGCGAGTATAGACTAAAGTCAAGATTCGCCACAGAGTCGTTGTTTTATCCTCGCTTACAAACTATTTAACACGGTCAACTTATAAGGCACTTATCTGTATTGGTCTTATTGCCACCGTTACTTCACTCAGAGAAATTATCAGATGACGTTTTGAAAGACGATAGCGCTTTTTCACATGACGATATGCGTTTGAGACATCGTCTGTCCTCTTTTTCTTCCTCCTCCACAAGTTTTCCGTTTTTGAGCACAGCTTTTAGGCGCCCGTTTCTGGCTTGAGCGACGTCGCCGGCAGCATAACCGTGAGGTCACGTGACCCCCGTGAGGTCAGGCGACCCCGGTGATGTCACATGACCCCCGTGAGGTCATGTGACCCCTGTGAGGTCACGTGACTTCCGTGAGGGTGACCCTCTTGACATCACGTGCAGTAGCAAGCAGGATAAGGAGGTGAGGAGAAGAGAGGAGGGGTATACTCTCCCCTCAGTACCCTTCCCTCCTCTTCCTCAACAGCTGCGCTCTAATTCGGCGTTACAGGGAGTTGTAAACGACTTTCGCTTTTTCAAACCACGGTATCAGGTTTCATTCATTGTGTATACAATATGCCATTTTTTTGTTTTCAAAGTTGGGGAATGTATTTTGAAGTCGGGAGTTGTACTTTTTTTAAAAATTACCAGAAAAAAATACTTTAAGTAAATTACAAGTACACATTCGGAGAATGTACTTCATGTAAAGTACAAGTACACACTCAGAGAATGTACTTCAAGCAAAGTACAAGTACACTATCGAAGAATGTACTTCAAGTAAAGTAGAAGTCCACACTCGGAGAATGTACTTCAAGTAAAGTACCTGTTTTATAAGCCTACTTAAAGTAGTATCTTAAGTACAATATACTTAAAGTACTTCTTGACATTGGGTTAAATAGCAACCATGCCAGGATTACTGCATGTCTAGCCGGCTGGGAAAACATCACCGGATGGGTCCAGCCAACGTTGAGCCCTGCTGTCGTGACAACATTTATGGTGTTATGATTCCTGTAAATCAAAGAGATCAAACTGTCAAATCCAATACCAAATTATTGTTGACTCTGCATTCTAGATTGACTTTGTGTTCGTGTTGCACTAGGTCCCCTGCAAAGTCCTGCTGTTTCGCATTCAGACGCTTGTATGCTTTCAGAATGCTTCCAAAGGCTAATTGCCCTCCTGTGAAAATTTGACAGAAGGTGGCATGAAGCACTAAAACCAACTGCCACTGCTGAGTTGGCAGCATGACTTGGTGCAATAGCTGGAAGTCATAATGGTTGAAAATTGCAACCTAAATAGCATTATTTATATTGGGATTCTTCATTTTGTGAAATCTGGAGGATTAAAGTCGGGTTTTACTTCACTAAAGGAAATTCGGAAATCACTTTCTACCTTTTCATGGTTAGTGTATTTTCAAGTTGCAATCTTTTTGGAAATAAAAGAAGTGTATTTGGATGGGAATGTAAAAATAATTTATGCAAGCAATTTTTTTTTTTTACATCAAAGTTTTTTTAGATGCTTTGACTGAAGTTGCATTGCTTCAATTGAAATCTTTTGCTTAGCTGCACTATGATTCCTTATATGTCATTGTAATATTTCTAGAATGGAGCTTGACACCCAGATTTTCCACTTTCCACAAAATGGGAAACTTTGCTGCATATATCTGATAAAATTGTGTTTTACTCGAAGAGAGAATAAGTTTATCTGCAGCTGGATTATGGAACTTGTCTTGGGTGGCTTCAACTAAGAGCAGTTTCATAATCCAGCTGCAAGTGGACTGATTTCCTCCTAGGCACAGAAATAAAGCCATGCAATGTGATTTCCTAACCTCGAATTTAGTTGTCTAACCTAAGCTGACCCACATTGTTTTTTTCTTTATTCACATCCCCTTGCAGATCCGGCATGGCATCCCAAAAATTATAACTGCTCTGTCAATCAAACTCTGCCTGCCTATCCCAGTGCAAGGTTGAAAGCAGCCAAAACCATATTGTCCTACCTAAGCCTTGCCATACTAACTATATTTTTAACTGAGGTGAGAATGCATGACATGACCCTTCTTAGACAGGCAAGGCTTCAGTGATATTACTTTATCAAATACTAACTTGTTATGGGTGATTAAAATCTGTTTTTGCCTCCACAGCAATTTATGATGTGTTGTTTCTTTAAGATATTTCTCAGTAGAGATGTATCATTGTTTATTTGTGGCATCTCACTGTTGTTGATAAGATGTGCTTGTAGTTTTAATGCTGATTTGGAATTTAGGATGAGGTTGCATGAAGGTCTAATCAGATGTAATCACTTGGAATGCAAGTGAAGCAAGTAATACTGTACTAGTCTGCATCTTTTATAATTAAATCTTGACATATTTCCTGATGACACCATTGCTCTAGCAACATTATTTAATGAAATAAGTTTTGAGAAGATGACATATCTTATGATTGTAAGCAGAATCCTAGTCACTGTAAAGTTTTCTCTGTAATCTGTTAACAATAGGACTGATGGGATATTTATTACGATTCTGAAATGCACTGGCATTGAACTATACGTCATACAAAGGTCAGCTTTCGTGATGAAAACAATGTCCAGAGTGATTATAGCAGCAGTAACGGTGTTTGATGACTGCTTATATTCTCTATTACAGGTCATATTTAGGATTGTGACTGGGAAGTCTAGATTTCTAGTGCAGGGATTAGAGGTAAGTTTTATATTCTCCAAGAGAATGCTTTCCAAACTGAAGATTTGTGCTTGAGTTATCTACTGCTCTCATAACAAATGCTGTCAGAGTGTAGTATGAATGGCTTCATCTCAAAAGTTGGCTCATCTTAAGAATTAATGAGGGCTTGCTTATGCATAAGCCACCATGGATGATATACAGCATGCAAGTTTGTTTGCTCATTGCACACCTTGTGTGTTTGTTTACCAACCAGATGCACCCACATGCTTTTGTTTCCCCCAACCTCCACCTATGGTGGTGCACGCATGGCTGCTCCGCCATCGTGCATTCTCTACGTTGACCTTTGATTGACGTGCCCCTCCTTGCGTTCCAATCCACCAAAGATGCATTGTGGAACACTTTTCCACCGTATATAGCACAAGCGGTCAATGCCACGTTGTAAGGGTTTTCCTGTGGAATCGGTATCACGTGAGGTGACTGCTTAAAAGGGAAGCTGAAGAAGGTTTAAAAAAACAAGCTAGAGGTGAATTTAAATCTGAATGTGACAACCATTTGCCCTGAATATATTGTTAAGCTTGAGAAAACCCAAAAAGCCAATAGCTGAGTGTGACATCATATGTAGAGCTTCCAACTGTCCCATGCATGCCTCTCGTGTAGGAAGGTATGTGCCACCCCAAGCTCACGAAAGTTGCCGTCATACAGATGCTGTTTATGCTTCCATGTCTAGAGCATCAGTCGGGGGGCCAGTCTGCAATTTCTGTGGCATTTACAGTAGGCTCGCGGTAACTCAAACTTGGATATTTCCTATTCTTGGTAAATTCAAACACATCTTAAAATTTTAGTTGTCCCGTTATGTTTTTAATGTACTCATAAGCTGCTTAATTCGAACGGCGTTTCCGTACAATTCATACTTTTTGTTACTATGGCTCCGTTGAGTGTGCTTCTTTCTGAGCACCGGTGCACTGCAGAAAGGCAACACCTGCGGAGCTTGCTTTCCCTGGAGTTGCTTCTCCGCAGTGCATCGGTGCTCGGTGAGAAGCGCACTCAATGGGGCTCAAGCAGGGCAGAGCCATACATAGACTTTGGTCAATACTAGGAGCGCACAGAGCCAGGGCATGCACCAGATGCAGAAAGAGGGCTTGACATTCCCTCTGGGCCAACCAGAAGCCGAAAATAATTTCCTAGCGGCGGACAACGCAACTCAGCTAGCTGGTTCTGACCTAGCCACATTGTAGCTACACTTTGATCATATCAAAAAAGCCAAGAGAAGGAACGGCAGGGACGTTTTCCAGTTAATTCTGCTTTGTCGGCGGAAATAAGAACAATATAAAACTCAACTTTGACGGTGTTATTTTAGAATGCTATTACCTCAAGCCTCCTCCGTGCTTTTTAGAGACCATCAAACATGTTGGTTGCAGCTGGTAATCTTACTCGTGACGTCGCACATGTGAACCACGGTCGTCTCTGCGAGCTCTCTCGTGCTGCTCTTGTTCGGCGCCTAGGGAGTGGTAGGGATTTTTTGCCCCTTCAATAAAAAGCGTCACGAATATAAAAAGATCTGCGGACTTGTGAGAGAAGAAAACTTAGCAGCATTCTTTCGGCCACTCCCCCGACTATGTCATAACGCTAAGAATCTGTGTTCGACGAGTTTAGCGACCCTAGTTAACGGTGCACTAAAGACATTTCTCAGATCATCTGTTCTTGGTGATAACTCATTCAACGGGATCTTAGCATTCCAGAAATCGAAAAATTATGCTCGTGCGACGTCTGTTTCCCTGCTAAAAATGTGATAGAAGTTTGTACTACGCTGAGCGGAAAAATCTGGAGCACATAATTCAGCGGAGGCGCTGGCGGCGTGACGATGGGTGCGCGTCAGCCAATTGCAAGTCGCCTTTTCGAGAGAGGCGGCTTGTGACTGGCTGATGCGTGCCCCTCGTCACGCCGCCGGCGCCAACGCTGGATTTTGTGCTCCAGATTTTTCCACTTAGAAAGGGGCGTTGCACAAACTTCTAGCACATTTTTAGTAGGGAAATAGACATCGCACGAGCAGAATTGTTTTTGGATTTATAGGATGCTTGGAGTTCGTAAAATAAGTTATCACCAAGAACAGACGATTTCAGAAACTTCTTGAGTGCCCCTTTTACCGAAATACTCCTCCGTGTCAGTCACTTCTCCGGGCACAGTGGTGCAAACTTGTGAAACTTGACGCGTGAGCAGTGCTGCTAAGCGGTGAAGCCTGACACATTCATGCCCATGTAAAGCGTTGAAGTCTTCCCTGTTATGGGGCCCTCTGCATTTTTGCTTTCAGATTTAAGAGTCCCTACCACCCCCTGTTTTTCAAGATTATCTCAAAATTTTGGGTGGGTACTTTCTAGGTATTTTATGGCATACCATAAAACTAGGAAGCAAGCCCCCTGTAAAAGTTAAGAAAATCATGAAAAAATAGGAATGGATGCTTGTTATATTCGAGAGCAGGAAATCTGAAGGGTCACGTGGTAAGGTGGACCTTTATTTGATCTGATGGAACTGTACAGGAGTAGTATACTGTACAGGAGTAGTACTCATTTTTAAAAAAAACCACGCCGCTTCCATCAGGCCTGCTTTGCGTTGGCTCTCTCCCGTCAAGTTTGACTGCTTTGCACCGATGCATGTGCATAAAGCTTCACCGCTTTGCACCGGCTTCTCGGAGAAGCATCGGACATGGAGGAGCATTTAGGTTAGTTTGGGGGCTCAGAAGATTGCTGGGGTGTGGGTACTTTACATTTCCCTTGCTTATACTATTAAGTGCTTAAAAAGTAGGGGGCGGGCAATTCTCGTGACATGAACGCATGCTGTGTATCATACAGTATGTTGATTGTAGTTGTGCTTATCACAGTAGTATATGTTCATCGTGGCAGTGGGCCTGTCCTCCCGTTTCATGTATTATGCTGCCTGGTTACAGCATGCATAATACATCAAAATCATAATACAACAGTACAGTGCGATCAGAACCCCTACTGTAATGTGTTTCAAATTGCTTTAGTGAAATCTGAGCAAGTTATAATTAAGCTTATTTTTTGTGTTTGCCCATGATGCCAGTATCACTTGTTGCCACCAATATAACTTGCTACCACATGTACATATATTTCACAGTTTGGTGTAAAAAGGCCAAACCAAAACCTCCAGTATTTTTATTTGTTCTTATAAAGTAGACAACCACAGTTTGAATTTGTCACCTTCATGGCTTAATCATGTTGCTCTTTCAGGTAGGGCATACAAAAAACTATGATCTCTTGTTTTTTGTATGTTGACTAAACTTTGATTCTGAGTTGCCAGATACGATCACGGGATATCACAAAAACAACTTTATTTTCTAGTAACTTTTTGGCATTGCCAGATCCTGTATTGGCACAACTGATAAGCATGAAATCTGGTCATGTGAAAGAGACATTGTTTGATAGCTTTGAATTTGAAGGGAAACAAACACCAAAAGCCAAACTTCAATCTTGCTATTTTATTGTTTCTTGTGTTGATCTTTGCGAAACAGGTTTTACGAGCTCCTTCGACTCTTACAATTTGTTCCCTATTTTTGTATTTTTTGCCAGATACTAGATGCAGTCATCATCATCACAGCCTTTTCGCTGGATGTGGCTTTCTATGCATCGCCTACAAAAGACAAAGCCAAGGAGGCTGCAGTGCTGATAGTTCTTTTAAGGGTCTGGAGAATCAAGAGGGTTATTGACAGTAAGTACTACTTTCACTTGCTTTCTTGGGGGATGTTTAAAAGAGTACAGCGTTTCAACTAAATGTGAGGACCACACAAGCTTAAATTGGACTTGGATACGTTATCTGCTAAGCCCAATAACATAACCAAATCATAAGGGGCATTTCAGCTTATATTGCAGTATCTAATGTCACTCAGATAGATTGGCACCGGACCATAGCAGGACACCTATTATCGTTGTCAAAAGCAGCGTTGGGCCAAGTACAGTCGCAAAGCCCGTCAGCTACCTCGCAGGAATGCTACTGGAAGAGGAAATTTTGCATGTGGTGCTTCAAGCACTGTTGCCTCTTAACACTTTAGCTATTTGAATTGGCCTTTTTTATTCCGAGAAAGTAATGATGGAGTGTGATCATCAACATCTCACTTTCTGGAAGCTTACTGAAATTTACAAGTAGATTTTCTACTTGAAGTAAAGTCAAGCACAGTATTTACATGATTGTACGCAGCAGACCCTTCTTTTATTATATAAAGAAATTTCAATTGGGGTCGGAGGGGGGGGGGGGGGGGGTGTTCTATATTTAGAGCCATACTGTGCCAACTTTGACAAAGCCCAAATAACTGAACTTCTGAATGCACTTTAGTGTTTTTTGAGTTCCTAGGTATTTACTCTGTGTCATTCTGCTCTTCTTTATGAGAAGTCTTTTTTTTTTTTCCACTAGTCTTGACCTTATACATGGGGCAGGCCAACAGGGGAGGCCAAGCATAGGAAGCGAGCAAGCCGGCCGTGTCGCGGCGGTCGCCTATTGTTCGCCGCGACCTGGCGGTAGCCGCCGCAAGAACATCGGGCAGCAATGGCGACGAACAACACGGCGGACAGTGTCCCCGTCGTGATTACGACGGAATTTAAGGCAGCTACGAGTTCGGAAAGTTCCTTCGGAAGCCGGTGCCGCCGGCTCAGAATCATCGCGAAGTAATAGCAAAGAACAGCACACAGGACAGTGGGCGACTAAGAATCCGGAAAGCTTCTTCGGTAGCCGGTGCAGAATCATCGGGGGGAGCAGTGGCGATTAGCAGCACAGCAGACAGTGTTCCCGGGGTGATTACGACGGGGTTTAAGGCGGTTACGAATCCAGAAAGCTTCTTTCGTGGTGCCAATATGACGAAGAGAAAACTGTTTCATGAATCTGGCCGCGTGTGCGACGGGAAGGAGGTCTGTTTCGACGGACAAGTGGATGTCACGGAGCGCCATACTCTGCAAACAGAATTAAGCGTGCCCGCAAAAATTTTTTGTTGGCGTTGAGTGGACTGCGGTAATTATGTACGTTTATTTCTGAATCAGCTTGACAATAACTGGGCGATTTTTTTTCGCGCCCTTCCGCGATTCTCTTTACTATCTTCCTGTAGGCTGATGGAAACATCCAACGGTAGTCTTAGGAGGGCGACCGCATTCCGCTTCTCGATTCCGGTGAAGTATTTGCTGCATACTTTAGAGTTTGCCGTCGGTGTCGATGCTGTTCCATCGTCGCTAGAAGAGAAAAAAAGTTAATTGTATTATTCGTCAGCAGCACAAAGCGCGAACTGGAAGGTAAGAAACACCACTAACCTGTATGGACGCACAAGTCGTACCCAGGTCGCGCAGTACTCCGCCTCGTACGGCTTCGAAGGGACGATGTAGTACTTCGTGCCGTGCGCGATCTTGCCAACCACGCAGCAATTGTTGCGGCTTTCTTGGTGCGGAATAGCCATCTCAGAAATTACAGCGCTAACCCACTACAACGCACAACCAACGCAGCGACTGCCAGAAGATGCCCGATGCAACGGTCCCGTTTGCCGCTAGGGACGCCCTGGTCGGGGCTTGAATTAGATCCGCACGGTTCCTATAACAGCAAGCTGTGCAATGACATCACTAGCTGTTTCATTTATGAATATACACATCTATGAATATGAAAAGGGCCTGTTAAATCACTGTCACATAAGGTCCACGTTTGTGAGGTGCTAAATATTTTTTTTAATATTATGCGTTGCCATGGTATAGGTTTATGTGCACAAAAGGATGAGGGGTGTCGATCTTCAGTATCTTCAGAAAAATATTTGTACCTAAAAATTCATTGAAACAACCGTTGGATTCACATGCAGTTATTTGCAGGCCATATTTCCTTTAGTTTTGAAAACCAGGTGACATTTAGCCCCTATTTCAACGTTCTTGAAACTCGTATGCTGCTCCCAACTTGCTCCAAGACCTCGTGTTTGCTGCCGGCAGCCTGCTCCAAACTAGTTTTTTCTGCTTCCAAGATTGCTCCAAATCTGCTTTGCCAGTTCCATCCCTGTGCAATACATTCAATGCATTGCAGTTCAAGTTAGCTGCATCCGGTAACCCATTGTTAGGGGAAGTGCCCAGATGCCTGCACATAACGTGGGCCACACCCGTTGGATTGCATGGGCGACCGCTGTAGCCGTTTCGCGCTGAATCCGAGAGATGGCGCAGCAGCCACGGAGCGGGAGTAGAAGGATTAAGGAGAAAGGGGGGGGGGAAGGGACGGCCTGTGATGAACGGAGAGGCATAGTTATACCTGTGATACTGCGCTGATACCGCTGCACGCGAGTAAGCGAGAAAATAATGTGTTTAAGCGAGATTGCTTGCATGTGGGTCATGACCGAGACTGGCCGAGACAACCAGCGACGAGGTACGTCACAAGTGGGGGCTTGTCCCTCGGACCTGGACCTTCAACAAGCGCGGAACCGACGTAAACAGTCCGTTACTTGGTTTAGCTCTTCAGGTTCTTTGTGCCCACCCGGACTATGGATTAAGTGACCTCGTGCACTTTAGTTGCTCAGCCTGACTGACGGGGCTCCCCTAGACAGTGAAGCAATAGCAGCGACTGTCTGCACCCTGCTCCTAAACAGGCCGATGGATGCGTAGCAACCGGCTACGGATCCGGTGCGACTGATGCCATGGAAGTGCAGAAATATTCAGTTGCTAAAGCTCATTGGATACAAAGACCACCAGAACCCCAGTGAGTTCATAGAGAAATTATAAAATTTCTGCCTTGTCTCTGGAATCGGAGGCAACAAGCGCATTCACCAGGTGCTTCCCGCTGCCTTGGAAGGCCCTGCCAAGCTGTAGTGGCGGTTCTCCGGCGGGTTTGAAAACTGGGACACATTCACCAAGGAGTTACGTGCAGAGTTTGCCTCTGTCGACTACAAACATTGGTTAAAGGAGAAGCTCGAGCATCGAACCCAGCACCCAGAGAGAACCGGAGCCACTTTTTCTTGTCATCGCAGAGTATTTTGACGGGATAGGCGAAACCGTGTCGGACGCGGACAAGGTTGCAACCGTCCGCAGGCAAATGCATCCCAAGTTCCAGGGCTTGTGCTAGGGTGTGGCAACGGTTAAACCAGCTGAACTACGAAAATAGGGAGAAACGAGTAAAGCGATCGCTTGTCTTTACTCCTTTCTCCCTATTTTCGTAGTTTAGCTGGTTTAACCGTTGTAATATGTACCACCAACTAGCTCAGCTTCTACCCCCTGTTAGGGTATGGCCTTTGCAAACCTGCGCAAAATGGCCAAGGCTGCCGGCGGCGTTATGGAGATGCGTGGCACCGGCTGAAGTATGCAAGAACGAACCAGGTGGCTAAGGATCTCGCTCCTTCGTCGAGCACCATCCAGTCGCCCTAAACCAGGGCTACACGCTGAGCGCCAACGTCAACTACTATGGTGTCACCCTGGCCCAAGGCCACCCACCAACTCCAGCAACAGTGAGTGCCAGCATCGGTCCCCACCCATGGTGGCCCCTGCACCCAGTGGCAGTGCAGGCATCCCACTGCAAGACCCAGCAGCTGGCCACAGCCCCCGCTCCTTTCCCGCCCATACCACAGCAACTACCGCAGTGGACCTTCCAGCAGGCCCAGACACTGACAGTCGTGGCCCCATACCAGCCCACGTCCCGACCGACACCGCAGTGGACCCAGCCGTGGGCCTCGGCGCACACCAGCAGGGAGCACCAGCAGTGCCAGTGCTGTAAAGGCGCGGGGCATGCGGCCGGGAGCTGTGCCATGGGAAGACCATGCAACCAGCCCTGCTATTACTGCTGCAGCCAGCGAGGACATCTCCAAGCCAACTGCCCGGGAAACGGGTGAACATAGAGGCTGCCCCGGCCAGCATCTACGAGACTGCCGTACAAGTGGCAGCCACAGCCTGAGGAAAGGAGTGCTTACTTGAGCTCACCATAGGAGATAGGGTTTTTCATGCCCTCTCAGATACGGGATCTAGCGTCAGTTTGTTGGGGACACAGCTGTAGCTGCAACCCGAGCAACTGGTGCAGGACTCGGAGAGGAAGCCCACTCCCTCCGGTTAACGACGAAATGGTCCAGCACCACGCAGTTCATCAGGTGCCGGATTCGTTGGTCTGGTGGACGCCGAAAACAATGCTTCATTCATATGCTTGAGGTCCTTGAGGGAATAAAACGCAAGCACTGCATGGCATTTCTTGACGACATCAGGAGCACATCAAGCACCTGCAGAACGGTCTGCACCAGATCGCCCAAGCAGGGCTCACAATCAACCCAAAGAACGGGAAAGCGTGCAAACAGTTCTCAAATTCCTCGACCGTGTGATATCCCCGGGAAGATGTCAGCCAGATCCTGAAAAGGTGCAAGCTGTTGAGGCCTACTCCGACCCAACATCCGTCAAACAGTTGCGGGCATTTCTGGGATTAGTAGGGTATTACCACAGCTTTATCCCAAGATTCTCTGACATCGCGAAACCACTGACAAGGCTACTTAGGAAAAACGTCCCCTGGACGTGGGAGCAGTCACAACAGACCACCTTCAGGTCCCTGAACGCTCAGCTAAGAGAAAAAGCAGTGGTTTGTCTGCCCGACCTCAACTGCCCTTTTGTCATTGAGACGGATGCCAGTGGCATTGGCATCGCCGCAGTCCTCCTGCAAGAACAGGACGGTCAACTCAGGCCAGTCTCCTTCATCAGCTGAACTCTGGATGATGCTGAACGGAACTACACTGT